GGCTCATTGCGGGGAGCGCTGGCGTTGCAGGGGGGCTTCGGCTCTGTCCCCCCCACCCTTGGACCATCCTCCCCGTGGACCATCTCGGTGGTGTCTCCGCCTGAGCTGTCTCTTGTCTTGTTGGCAGATCTTCCACCCGGAGACCACCGACATCTATGACAAGAAGAACATGCCCCGGGTGGTCTACTGCATCCATGCGCTCAGGTGGGTGGCCCCGGGGTCAAAACTGTTGTCACGGTTTGTGCTCGTGCTCACGAGCCCTTCGGTGGCATCACCCCCGGGGCTGGGGCGGCAGCCTGGGGTTGTTGCAGAAGCATCGGGAGGGAGAAGCAAGTGACTGCACGGTCACGGCGTGTGTCTGCTTCGTCTTTCAGCTTGTACCTCTTCAAGCTGGGGCTGGCTCCTCAGATCCAGGACTTGTACGGGAAAGTGGACTTCACGGGTACGGCGCCGCGATGGGGGTTTGCCAACAACGCTCTGGGATCCCTGCGGTGGGAGGGATGTGGGGAATGAAGACCTTGGGCAAGCTTTTCCGAAGCTGCCTTGGTGATGCTTACCCCAGCGTGGGTGTCCTCTGCACCCTCTGGTTTGGGAGGGGAGTGGGGGGCTCTGCTGGCTGCCTCCACTGCAGCGCTGGACCACGGGCTGGTGCTGAGCGGCGATGCCTCTGTGCTCTGCTCCAGAGGAGGAGATCAACAACATGAAGCAGGAGCTGGAGAAGTATGGCCTGCAGCTGCCCGCCTTCAGCAAGATCGGGGGCATTTTGGCCAACGAGCTTTCGGTGGATGAAGCAGCAGGTAATGGGTGAACACGGCAGGATCGGTGCTGTGCATCAGCCCGTAGCAGGATCTCAGCTTAGCCCCTGAACGTCACATCTGGGGCCAGCAAACTGGGAGACGCTCTGGGAGACGCTCTGGGAGACGCTCTGGGAGACGCTCTGGGAGACGCTCTGGAGGCACCGGTTTGCTCTCCTTAGACCCGTGCATGGCTGCAAGGGCTGGCACAGCCCCCTCCCTGCCAGCAGCACCTGGGGTTTGCATTAGCTGGGCTTGTTGTAGAGACAAGTCTGATGAGGAGCGGCTGAGGGACCTGGGGCTGTTCAGCCTGGAGAAGAGGAGGCTGAGGGGAGACCTCATCGCGCTCTACAACTACCTGGAAGGAGGTTGTAGCGAGGTGGGGGTTGGTCTCTTCTCCCAAGTAACCAGCGACAGGACGAGAGGAAATGGCCTCAAGTTGCGCCAGGGGAGGTTTAGACTGGACGTTAGGAAAAACTTCTTCACTGAAAGAGTGGTCAGGCCTTGGAACAGGCTGCCCAGGGAAGTGGTGGAGTCCCCATCCCTGGAAGTATTTAAAAGCCGTGTAGATGAGGCGCTTAGGGACATGGTTTAGTGGGCATGGGGGGGTTGGGTTGACGGTTGGACTTGATGATCTCAGAGGTCTTTTCCAACCTGAATGATTCTGTGATTCTATGATTCTATGACACTGAGACTTCCCAGGCACTGGAGACTGCAGCTTGCTCTTTGAGAACGGGGGGTTCTCATCATCGTGTGTGGCACGGCTTGTCCCACCGCACGCAGGGATATAGCGGATGGTCTGTCGCAGTTCTCCGTACCCCGTCTCACCTTTCCGCTTCGCCTCCAGTCCACGCCGCAGTGCTGGCGATCAATGAAGCGGTGGATCGGGGAGTGGCGGCGCAGACGATGGTGGCTCTCCGCAACCCCAACGCGATGCTTCTCGACTTGTGCGAGGTGCTGGCGGGCGCCTACCAGGAGGTGCTTCACCAGGCGAAGCTGGAGAAGGGCGGCAATGCCAGGAACAGGGTGAGGAGGACACGGGGGGGGTCCTGGGGGGACTGGGAGAGGAACAGCCCCTTTGCTGATGGGCTGGTGGGTGCTTCCAGCTGGAGGGGTCCCTCTTGGTCAGAGACCATCCCCACGCTTGGCAGGTAAAACACAGCCTGGGAGCCCTTGTGCTGATTAGAAGATGGGGGGGAAAGCCGTGGGG